TGTGCTTGTGGCCGGACTCGTGGGATACTTGGACATCATCCTGCAGGGAGTTGACTGAGTAATTCATTCAGACTCAACCTTCTTGTAGGCCCCAGATGCCAGGGTCGCCGATCTACAGTTGTAGGATTTCTGCTGAGGGTTTGCCTCAAGGGAAGTTTCAGAAGGAGGCGTATGTCGACCTCACACAGCCTCGAGCTGTCTATGAGCTTGATATGGGGATACCTACCTGGTAATCAGCCACCTGGGCGTATGCTTGATTGCTGAGGTTGTGCTGTTCGGGCTCCGGGGACGAGTAAGTACCCCAGGCAGTAACCCAAAATTTCCGAGACCCGAGTTTCTCAAGACCTGGCGCGAGTCCCATTTCAGCAAGCAACAGAATGAAATTATGATTTCCGCGCCCTTGCTTGCTCAGCTCGGCACTGTACTAATTACAAGTCCTCAAGTTCGCTTTGCTAACCATGGTGAAGGTAAGCTTCCTGGGCAGTTCCTCCACTCTGAACGGATACAAAAGGTCCCTGCACCCTGGTCTCTTCCTCTGCTCTCACTTGCTCCCTCCTGCCTCATACCACAAAGGATGCCTCCTCGGCCTGATTTTCTCACCCCTTGCATGCAGCAAGCGGGAGATGTGCTTCATCGACTCTCGGAAGGAATTGGTTGCTTTCGAAGCTTCCTGAAACGAGCTGGGTGTTGGGTTTCGCAGGCTTGCGGTGTTGAGGACGGAGATAAGGGTTGAACAAGGAGGCGTCCGAGCACACCCTCACACATATGCCAGATTTGTGGTTTTGCAACAACGGCATCATGAAGAAGCTACTGCAACATCATATTCATGTTTTGTCAAGTGTGTGCTAAGGGATGCAGGGCAATGCTCGTGATGTGTTCTCAAAGCAGATTCTAGACAGGTTTAGATGTGATCCAGGGTGCACGGAGACCCCTCAGTGCCGGGTTGTTACCACACTTGAGAACGAAACACCACGTGACCCTAACAAGCTGTTTACTGTTCCCGCTATGGACTTAGCAGATGTGACATGATGTGACTACTGCGGAGATGGGCGTGCTTGAATTTTGCGGCGGGCTGGAAAAGCCCAGGAACGGAAAGCACTTGGTTTTCTTCTTCTGGTTTTTCTCCAGCAAGACACAAGGACAAGGTCAGCATCCACCAGGAGGATCACGAGCTGAAGGAGCTCAGCGCTGGGTTTAAGGGGAATGGGATGTGGGGCTTCGGGGGTTCGGAGTGGTCCATCTGTGGCGCAAGCTTGGCATCTGAGCTCTGAGGGGCGCAAGCAATCCAACCCCCCAGAACTCCAGCTTGATATCAGAGATTCGCAGTGCAGCAGGAGCGTGGGATCTACGGCATCGGAGGCTTTCTCAAGCGCTGCTGGATCAGCTTTGTATGTTCGCTTGGGGTTCAGAAGGGTCTAGAGACTTGTGCAACACCCCTGAAGCTCCATGACCTATGGTGAGAACCCCAACACTCAGGCTCTCGGGAGCTGAGGGTGTTGTGGAGTTCGCCTTACCTCTCAAGGCAAGGCAGCCTGATGCGGGGATGTCTCTGTATAGGGGGTCACTGTGATCGGGTTCCTTGCGATGGGATGTGTGGAGGGATCCTTACACGTCGACACGCACTTGAAGTTTGAGCCAGGGCTTTCAAATTCGCTGGGCCCTCCAGATGTTGCTTGGAACATAGTGAAAGACAACAGGATTGACGCCAAAATCCTAGCCATGTGCGATCAGGGCCCAGGACACAGGGCGTGTCTCCGGCATGAGCACGCGTTAGACCTCAAAATTCCAAATTTGCCCTGCATATCCCTATCTGAGCCCTCGACCTCCCAACCTGAGCACGCAACCCTGAAACTGCAACCGAGCACACTCCCCAACCTCAACCTTTTGCCATGTGCAGGCTGTGGTGTGTCTTCGAGTTAGCGGCATACCGCAAGGCAAATCCAACCGGGAAGATTACGTTCGCCCCGCTGTCTTTCGATTCGAATTATTGTCTAAGTTGAGATTTCCAAAAGATAGTGGAGAATGAAACCCATCATAGTTTTCAAGTCCACTCCAAGGTACATAGAGTCATCAACGTGCGCTTACCTCTTTGGAAGCTACATCATGGGCCTTGGCTGGCACGCCATCTACTGGAGCGGAGGCCTACTCCGGTTGAGGTGAAGTTTTCCAAGACAGGGGTGCCCCCTCATATGCCCCAAAATACTTGATAACCCCCACGAAGAAGGAGGCTTTAAACTTTAAACTTTAAACTTCTTGGAGCCCCCCAGGTTCTGGCAGTATTTTCGCCAGGCATTGCCTTGTTTCATGCGCTCCGCAAGAACAACATGGCTCGAGTCAAGCTGTTCTCAGACATGGAGCACTTCGACATAAAAGATGCAAAATGCTCGGAAGAGTTTGATAGGGAGTTCGTGCTCACGGCAATCAACGAGTGGTACGGCAACAGCGAGGCATTCGTGGAATGTGTGCGGGGGCCTCTGCGGTGGGAGATGTCCAAGATGGTTCTTCAAGCTAGCACGCCCCTGGGTTGCGTAGAAGAATCTTTGAATCTTTCCACCGTTCCAAAGCAACCATACCTGCACAGCCTGCACATTGCTGGGATGGCAAAACAAGTCAGTTCAGGCCCTGGAGTCACGGCTTGTTGATCAGCACACCGAGTGTCTGCCAGACGTTGACTGCTTTGCTATCACTTTGGAAGTGTGGCTCCCCCGTGGACGTTTGTTTGAGCTACCTGCTTTCTACCGTGATAGGTCAAAGTCTTTTCTTCTACATGCTAACGATCAAGCTGTCACTGCATCTAGGTCAGATTTAGAAGATTTTCCTTGAGATTGACAGCGACGGGCGGCCCCAAAAAGACAACGAGCTTCCATCTCGAGATGTCCTTAACTTCGATGTAGGCATCTCTGTGACCGGTTCGCAGCCCCACTTCGGCCCGGTTTCTCCAACATCCTCCAGAGCTGCCTGATATTCTCCTGCTGGCTTGTGGCATTTGTTGCGGCAGACATCCTGTCCGGCTTGCGTACAAAGCTGGGATTGCAGCCTCCATGGCATTTTTTGGGGGCCACGGTGCTCACTCTTTGGCTGCCAGCTTGGCTGGTGCTTCCTTGAGGCTGGGCGCTGCATTTCGGAAACGTCAATGCCTCAACACACAAGTTCTTTTTACTTGGTGTTGTGCATGCGGGATCTGGCAGTGCTTTAGGTGTGGAGTCTTAAAATCCAAGGCCCTGCATATTCTGAACACTTTCGAGCTTGCACTTTAAGTATGAGGCAACAAGACAAGCGGTGTGATCTGCAGGCTTCGGGGTATCTGCCTGGACGTGAGTGCCCCATGATCGACTCACGCCATGCTAATGCTGTGGCTTCCAAATCCGGCGTTCCGGATGAAACAGGGTGTTTCAGCCCAATGCGCCTGTACAGCCTGTACAGCCACCGAATAAGGTGTTTCCAACTCCGTTTATGCTGATTTGGGGTGGTTTTCAGTTGCCACCCGTCTCGCCGGACTGTAGAGCTCGGTAGGAGTGGGGTAAGCATAGCAGGCGTCGAGGACGCTCCTAGTCTTAGAATTCCTGCTGCAATTTTTGCCCATGCCGTGGCTGTTGCTTCCGAACAGGGAGCTCGCCATTAAACCTCTTGAGGTTCCTTTTTCTTCGAAAAATTCACGGGGAGATATGTTGTATGTCCGAGTACCTGGAGACGCTCAAACCAGTGTCCGATTTCATGGAGCAGGGAATAACCTGTTCTGCATGACGTGCTGTGAAGTTGGCATTTGCATGAAGGCTGTGCCTTGACGAAGCTCCACATCTCCCACAGCAAGACTAAGAGGGTCCCGATAGATCCCAGTTTGTCGAAAGACCCCCCCTGCACTTTGATAATGTCACCAAGTGAGGCGTGGGGTGGCGAGCAAGGAGTGTCAGAGCAAACACCCAATGATTACCAGAAGGTAGACCCTTTCTGCAGGAATCAGCTCGTCCCCCCACCACCATGGACCTCATCTCACGATGACAGTCTTGCTCCTGAGCATGGATGTACGCAGTTTGTTGCTCTGTCGATGCTCAGTCGGCTGGCAGCCAGAGCCCCGCACCTGCCCTGAGTATTTTTGAAGGTGACCTCATGAAGAGAAGCTGCCCCTCAGGGGCTGGTTTTTTTTTGTAGTAGAGCCCTATAACTATATGCGGCTTAGGCAACTCGAAATCTCTCGGCGGCGCTGTCAAGCCTGGGGGCAATCCCGTAAAAGCGTTCATGCAAAGCCAAAAATGCCAGCTCGAAACAAAGGTGCGAAGCAAGGCTTAAAAAAGGCTGGGTCCTTCATCAGTTAAAGGTCTCTGGATTGATGTGCAGGTTTGGGCTTGTAGAGGCCAGAGCCGAACCGCCGCAAATCCACATCCCAGCCTTGGGAGCAGAGTTCATCGGCGGCACCTGCTGCAGCGTGGGGCGGCTATAGCCAATCTTCACAACTCGTATAAGAGTTTGCAGAGCAGTCAGGGCCTTCAGGGTTGACCTTGTAGACTCGCAGCGGGAACATCAGCGATGTTTCCCTTCAAGTCCTCCCCCTACTACGTAGCCATCAGGGCTCAATTCGCCTTGCCCCCGACGCCTGGCAGAAATCATGTTGCGAAGCCAGGCTTAAGAGGTTTTAGTGCTGCCAGCCCGCACTCGATGAGGGTCAGTTTCTCCCACCCTTCAGAAAGGGTTTAACAAGTCCTGCAGTCACTGCAGTTTCCAGCCTCTTGGATTTTGCTTTGTGCAACCCACGGCGACGAATCCTAAGCCCTAGGCCTCTTAAAGCCGAGCCGTAGTTTTAAGGGCTTAGGGCCCTAGACGGAACTCTGGTGCAATTTCGCTTCCCTCTGGGCTTGCCTGGGCATTAGGCCAGTGCCGGTAGTCTGCTGATGATCACTTGGTTGCTTGCCGGGAAACATGTGCCCCTGAGAGTGCGTTTCGAGGCTTGTCCTCAGTATTCCTCAGTTAAGAATAGTAGCAACCCTGCTCAACCCATGCGCCAGGGGCCATGCAACCGCCGCTTGAGCCCTGTGAGCCCCCCGAGGCGATGATTGTGACCATTTTATCGCAGTTGTCATGCATGTTGGTTCATTTGTGCAGGTAGAAGTGAATCGCATTCGATATCAGTGTGGCTGTATATCTTGTCATGTGCCATTAGCTTCCCACTTTGGGTTGTAGTCATCATGAGCGGAAAGCAATGATTAAGAAGTCCCGGGAAAGTTTGCAGGCTGCGTTAGGAAATCCGGATGGTTCAGGATATGGGGTTTCACCTTTTGGGTTGCTTGCCATGAATCGAAGACATTATCAGGTTTGTTTATACCAGGTATGGTTGTGGCATCTTGTTGGAGCACGCTAACCTAGAATCCACAAAGTGCGCTAAGATGCTTGGCCTGGTGGTAGCATGCCAAGCAACTCTCGTCAAAACCGCATTACATCCTATGGAGACAAGCAGGAGGCTCTCCGAACCCAAGTGTGTGAGCATATGTCTCCAGTTTGTAAGAAGTGCTGTAGTCTCAGAACGACACGGCATTTTAAGCCGTGGACACAGTCAGTGGGCGTGCAGAGGTCATGTTGCAAAAGATTTTGTAGTCTCACAGCTGCACGGTGTTGTAAGCTGTGGACTCAAAATCACTCGGTCTCCTTGCTGCTTGCACGGATGAAGGTTCTGCAGCTGGCGAGGAGCGGCTGCGTCGAGTCGCCAAATACTGGGGCAAGCGGCAATGAAAAAACTTGAAAAGCTGGGAAGCACACGTTCATGAATCTTGATCACAGAAATAGGTTTTAACAATCTGGCTTGTGAGTGTTTACCATTGAACGCTTATTACCGTTGACTGTAGAGACATCGATGGGGAGAGCAGCAGGTTGGCGTTGTAGAGCTGCTGTGCGCGCAGTCTTTGATTTTGAGCGGCAGCCCACTGGTTGGCATGCTTGTGGAGAACTCGTTGATCTACTACGTCTCTGAGCTGGATGCCGGTGCTGGGTTTGGTCAATAGGCGGCTTTCCAGAAGTCAAACCGGCGATGCCATTGCGAAGTGGAATGACACTCCAAGTTGAGCATTCGCTTCTTGGAAGCCTGCGCTCATTGTAGGCAAAGAGTCAGACACCACCAGAGTAACATCCGCAGCCAACGCAATCGCCAAGCATAGACTTTGAACCTCTGGGCTTGCAGATATCTCACCTGTTCCTTGAAAGTTGTTCGCAGTGCAATACTGCTCAGCGAAGAACATCTCGCACCGCCCGAGGCCCAAACTTCCGCATTTCCCAAGATTTGAGGTGCTTCAAGTTATACAATACTCTTTCCATCAACCGTATCTTGCATGCAACGATTTCAGGCCTAATAAAAATTCGATACACTCTCATGCTGAGCCACCTGCCAAGCCCGGCAGAGACGCCAAAACTCAGAGGCTTGGATAACTACAAAAGAGCATCCAAAACGTTTTGCACCAAAGCTGCACCTTGGCTCATCTAATCTTCTGCCCTGTTGCCGTAGCGGGCTCAAGCGAGCTCTGCCGTCGCCTTCGTGATGGTGACCTTGAGGCCTCATATTCGGGGCATGTCCTGTTGATTTACAACACTTTGCAATGGAAGGACAGAGGGACGTTTTGAAACCAACTAGAGACTCTGGGAACTCTAGGAATGGTTCTGCAGGTCATGTAATGAAAGCTAGGCTGAGATCTGGGGTCTCAGCACGCTGCCGACGACAAGAGCATGAATGCGAAGCGCAAGAACGCTGAAGGCGGTCAGGTTTTGGTTTTCTACGAGTGGTAAGGGCAGTACAGTAATTTTCTGTGATGTTCTGTGGTTGAGTTTGGGTGGCCAGGGGGCGTGAGCGGCCGCCTTGGCGGCCCGTGGTCTGGCTGGCAGATTCGGCCGGGGTCTCAGCAAGTTCGCGGGAATCGTGTCTGGTTGAAGGTTTCAGAGATCATGACGTAAGTTCTTCTTGATGTCTTCACCCTTGCATTTGCAGGGTGCCTTTTGCGCCCCATGCTGCAGCGCAACCATGATCTTAGACTCGACAGGCCCCTCGAAGCAGAAAACTCTCCAAAACTCCTCCGCCCTAATCCTGAGGCAAGGGCCTCTACGGTAGAGCCTCTATATAATAGTCCCCATATATCCAATATACTATAGTAGCTTCCATTTTATTTTCATTATCCCTATATAAGCCCAATAGATATTCTATACATCGTTGACTTGGCCAGGATGATGAAGCGGAGGTGTTGTCCGTCATGCAACAAGCTGTGATCATTGTGGCTTGGCGTAAGCTGTACGGCAGCCAGCCGTAGTAGCAGGATGTGGTGTCCTGGGTTGACGATCGAGTTGAGCGGCTTCGAGAAAAACATCGTGTTAAAGCCCGTGATTTCTAGAAGAGGAGGGAGAGCATGGCTGCAGACACACTCAGCAAGGCTAATTGATGGGGTGCTTTTACCGTCTTTGCAGTCCGATCAACCCTCCTGACCAGTTCCCAGGTCACCTTGTGCCCCAGACTGCACCCTCACCTTGAGAAGTCAAAGCTGAACAAAAACCAAACCTTCAACCCTGGCCCATGGCTCCAAGCAGACACACAGCCCGGGGTTTTGAAATTCGTACAGCCTGATACTACATCCCTGCAGCACCTCTACAAGTCCTCCTACCTGCACTCTGAACTCCGCATTCTTGCATCAGTTTCTGCGTCTTACTGTGTCCAAGACCCACGCATTCTGAAATCCCAGGACCTCTTGACTCCTCCACATTCTTCTGCGCCGCCAACAGCCGTCCCTGACCGGCCACTGAAGGCGTGCTCTTCTTAGCCCTCGTGCTCCCTAAGAATAGGGAAGCTGAACCCTTGGACTTTTCAGATTTGAACTGTTCAGGGCTGCAATCTGGAGTCTAGGGTCCCAACCAGAATTGTTGATGCGTGCTGGCCCTGCTCTCGGCTTCATAGCTGCTGCACCCCTGTGTTGTCGGTATCGAGGTCAGGATCTTGGCTTGAGTAGCCACGGCTTTGCATTTCGAATTTGGACAGAAGGGTTTTGGTAACCCCACCCCCCAAAATTAGGACCCTATGACTATCATATCATATGATGCTTATAGGGTCCTCATTTTAGGGGCTGGGGTTACCAAAATCCCCTTGTTAAATAGATGCTAGCTGCTGCACGGTCTTTGCTGGCTCTGGCTTGGTGCGCAACACGTGTCATGAATAAACGCATTGCCATGCGTTGCCACAGAACACGTTCGGGGGAGTGTCCAACAAGGCTTGATGTTGTTTCGATGGAAGCACCACCTGTCAACATGATGTAAATGTTAGGGGGAATGTCCAATAGGGCTTGGCATTTGCCGCATTGCATGAAAACACTTCAGGTCAACAGAATAGGTCTTCAGGGGAACGTGTAATGGAGCTTAGGGTTGTGATGCATCATGAATTGTATGGCAGCAACATATTTTTTGGGGATATGTCTAAGGGGTTTTGGGTTCAGGGCGTTTCAGAATACACTGCGCGTCAACACAATGCGTCTTAGGGGACTGTCCAATGGGGCATGTAACAAAGTTTCGCGCACTTCTGGAGCACCCTGTAAGATCAACAGCTCTAAGCAGAGCTTCAAACACCCAGCTTCCTCTGACAGACCTTGATGCTGACCACATGGCATAGGTAGATGCCGAAAGTGCCGAAGCGCGGGGGGTCAAGAGGGAGCTCAACCAAGCAGCTCGGCCTCCATGAGTCCAGACTTTTAGGGTGTAGACCTGATGGGTTTCAACATATCCCCTGAAACCCCAAACCCGAAACCCTAGTTGCTCTTTACCTTCCTGAGGCTCTGGGGTCCCTATGGGGATTTCCCTAAGACCTGAAGATGGTTCCAGTGTCCAAGCTCCATAGTCTGGGAAGCTCAAAGTCATCAGCGTTTGGATCCGGATTTTTTCACGGAGAACGGTCAAGCATGTTTCGCACCACTTGGCGGCAGTCTGTGGGCAGGCCATAACTTTTCATTTACAAAGTTCATGATGTATATGTAAAACGGACCAGACCAAGGATCACTCACTGAGTCGTTTATCTTCAGAACCCCTCCGGTGTGCAGACTTTCTTAAGATCCCTCCGTCCGCGACCCAAGGATTTGCAATGACAGCCTCCGTTTGATCCTTCAACCGAAGCCCTATGATCCCTGAGGATCCTGATTGGTACATCTTCTTGAGAATGCTCACTTAGGCAGATAGCCCTCCTTGCACACCACCTCGCAAAGTCCGCCTTGTGACGGCCAGCTTGGCGATGCAGCCTTTCAGGACTCAGAGCTGAGTTGTGGTTTTGGGGGTTGCAGGTCTGGGGACAGTCAATGATTCTAGTAGTCGCTTCCTGGCCTGCCCCTTTGCATACTTGACAGTATTGCACAATCCACGATCAAAGTAAAGGACAAGGTAGGCATCCCACGCTTTGGCGATGTCCCTGAAGTGTTGGGACCGGAGCCCTTATCACAAAGCCGACAGGCATGAGGTTGTCGTGACATGATGGTCCTGTTTCGGCTTGCTGGGACAGTGCTACCTGTTGTCAGAGATGCAAGCGAGTCCCAAACAGGCAGTTATACATGCTAGTTCAGCCACACGTATCCCTGCGCGCTGTGCAGTATCTCATTTGCTACAACAGCGTGCGTTGCGTAATGTCCGCCTTGCTTTCCTTTTTCCGAACTCGCTTGGTAGACATTGCAGGACGTAAAGGCCACTGCGTCTGCACTTCGCGCCAGCTCAGCCCTTGCTCCAAACTACTCTACGCTTCAACAAGCATTCTTCTGAAACAGTTCTAAAAAATGTGTGAGGGGTTCTCCCTGTGGATGATGCTGCTGTTTTGGGGGCGGGCTCATATATGTAGAACCTTTATGCTTGGTACATATAGTGACATATCCTCCATCAGATCCTATCCCTACATTTTTCGGTACCGTCTAGAGTCTAGAGTCTAGAGTCTAGACTAAATCCGTCCGGAAGGCCAGTGTGGTCCCCACGTTGTCCAAGCCTAGGCTGCAAGAATTTTGCAGAGTGCCGCAGGACACCCCCGCGGCCTCGAGAGAGCTTCCAACTTCGGGGATACCTGCAGGTGCCTCGATTTCTTTGGAGACGGATGAGGTAAACATGATGAGGTGAACTGGATTATAATCTTCCTTTTCGAGTTTCTTGGCAGAAGGCTCACAGTTCTCTACGCATTTATTTGGAGCCCAAAGTTTGGCCGAAGGTTTGACTGGTTCCAGGGGTTTAGGTCTCCATGGCCAGGCTCTGGCTGATTGGAGTGGGAGGAAACAATTGGGTTTACGCTTTGTTTGTCAGTGTCAAGCCTTCCCATAGGTTCCTTCATAATCGTTCGTATGCCGCATAGTTTCCGGAGCACTGTCTCGGTCTACTCTCAGGATTCCATAGAAGTGCAACTCGGGGCGGGTGAAAGGCCATGCATGCCTAACCTAGTACAAGCCTACACCCTCCCCTATTCACCCCAATACCTACATTTCTGGAAAGCACATCCAGCAAAAGCCCTCTTACGGTCCCGGGAATGTTCTTACCAGGATGCAGGACAGGTGATTGAATTCCTCGGCTCCTGGGTAGTGGCCCAGGGGTCACATACAGCGGCATGCGGCTGTACTGTTCGGGTAGTATTGTAGGAGTTTAGACTATCACCCCTATATTAATCACCTAATATATAATGCCACTTTTCATTTCATTTTCCAGTTTCTTTTCTATTTGAT